CATAAACCAAATATAAATGCTGTAACTCAAGCAGCAGTTAAAATTAGGTGTTGGACCTTGACTTTTTTGTCCTTTGAATAAAGTGTCTCTTCAGCAAAGACTAAAATCCAATCACTCTACACAAAACCCACATAAATGACTACTTCATAGCACTTATTCCAGTTTTTTTCTGTCTCTTTAATATCATTAAAAGTACTTAAATTCAAAATCCCAGGAGGGCCAAGAAAATATATTTATGCATGGCAGAACTATCTAATTAGATAGCCTTTCTTCTCCCATTTTCAGAACCCAGTTCTTCAGCTTGGAACCTCTACTGACATGGCTGGTATGTTATTGAAAAAATACTTTACAGAAAGTCTACTAAATTGCAAATATTTTGTTGTTTTGCATACTTGACTTGATTCTGAACAAAGACCAATTATAAGGTTTTTGCCCTAAAGCAACTCAATAAATTACAAAACTGAGTTTTAAATTAACGTAATGTAAGGTGTTCCTGTGTCACTAATCCTATTTTGCATGCATTGAAATCTCAACATTTTAAAGAAGTCAAACGGGGAGCATGTTATGTAAGGGTGACGCATAATATTCCAATGCCTGTCCATAACAGGTATTTTTGACAGCCATTGCTCTTGTCTAAGGTGAGGCAAAGTCAACCTTGATAAGGTTGTTTTATGTTTTGGATGTGCTTTTTGCAAGTTCACTCAATTCTGTAAAGGAATCTGTATGAATAATATTTAATTCCAAATGTAAAATGATTAGACTAGTCAAACTCAATCTTGATTAGTGTTTATAACATGAATATTATTCATACAAAATGCAGCTGTTGAGTTATAACACCTTCATACTAGAGCTTTTTCAATGTATTTTTTGGCTCAGTGATAACCTGAGATCAAGATAATGTTTCCTTGAACTTGCAAAAAGGACATAATAGACTCTTTTAACCAGAGCTCAATTACTTTAAATGTACTGTGATGTTCAAAGGACAGGATTAGAATAGAATCCTTGCATACAAGTAAGAAGCAACACTGCTGATAAGTTCAAATTTTTGTGTTGTTATATAAATAGAAAAAATGAATAATCCTTAAGGTTTACTGACTACAAAGCTTCAAGGTGTCCTCTCCACACAGTTACCTTGATCCTTACTCTGCAATGACTAACTGGAGCTTTGAGTGAAAGTGACATTTTATTAGAACGGGAATCTAAGAGGTGCTTGTCTAAATGAAATGTCTAAACTTTTTTTTTTTTTTTTTTTTTACAGTGATACAGTTACTTTGACAGAAGGTTAAAGGTAAATGAGAATGCAGTATGATAATAAACAATTCAGCGAGGCAATATTGAAATTTTTCTATTTTATCTTTTTTTTTTTGCACAGCTTTTCGAGAACATTTCCTATTAAACTCACTGGCCACTTTAGGTACATCCCACCTGGTTAGATCCATTTTGCCTTCAGAACCTCCTTAATCTTCATTGACAGAGACTTAGCATGGTGCGAATATGAACCATATTTTGGTCCACACTGAGAAGACAACTTTCATAGAAGTACACAGAATTTAATGACATCTTAAGAAAACTGACTTGATTGGAAATTTTTAACATTTCTCGTTGTATTGCTGGTAGCAGCCATTACATGAGGGCTATATTGTGGTTTTAGTAGAATGGACATAATCAGCTAAGCTAAAGATGGAGGCCGTGTCATGGTCTGCTGTGGTAGCTGACCTTAATTACTCATGCCTTTCACCTGCTTCACTCTTTCCAGCTAATTATCACTTATCTCATCCACCTGCCAGTTTCCCTTATATTGGGCTCAGTTCCAGCTATAATGGCCAGATCATTATTTGTTTTTTTGTTCAGTCTGTCTGTTCAGTTTATGCTAAGGTTCTTTTCCTGGATCCTGGCAGCCAGTGGAAAGAGGGTTTTTGTGTCTGTCTCGTCTCCTGCTTGTCCACTGTTCCTCCCCTGCTGAGTCCTCTGGGTTATTGGCTCTTTACGCAGGGAGGATCAGCTTTTAGTCCAGTAAGCCTGGCTCCAAGCTGGAGACCAGTTTAAAGGTCCTGCTCAAGTTCTAGTTCCATGTTCCTGTCTCGGCTACCCTCTTCCACTGAGCCTGCCCGTCTGCACCTGATCCTGTCTGCTCCTGTGCGTGTCCGATAGGTAACGCTTCTGGACTCTGAACCTTCAATCCAGCGGCTTGATCGTGCCCCTTTCCAGGGAGATGGACTGGACTGTTGAAGGTAAGTGACTCACTGAGATCATCATCTTCTGTCAGATGATTGTGGTCACTCTCCTGTGTTTCTCCCATCAGAGTGTCTGATATTGGGTGGTGCATCCTAGCAGCTCCACTTTAGTTTTGTTTGTTTTCATTTTAATAAATGTTTGTAACTTTCCTACTGACTGTCTCACCTTGAATACTGGGTCCATCTGTCCCGTTTTATGACAAGCCGGGGTATTTAAATGACACTCGGTTGGTATACAAGGGGAGCCAAAATGGGCTACGAAAATATTTCTTACACCAGGGGTCTCTAACCCTGGTCCTCGAGACCCCTGCCCTACACAATTACACCATTAACCAAAACCGGTGATGCAATGCAAGACAAATCCAGGCTTTAATTTTGTTTACTCCAAATCCTTATCCTAAAATCTATTCAACATATTTCCAGTACATAACTAATTTTGTTGGGCCTTTGTGAATTGAAGGCTAAGATTCCTGTTCTTTGCTAAGGAAAGTGGCAATTGATGTGATCCTTTACAGCCCATTTGCTTTAAAGTAAGACGTTGGGATTCTGCACAACTTAGTTTTAACAAGTGGTTATTTCAACTGATTTATTTAGACTTTAGTGGTATTTAAAAAATGCAATACAGGAAATGGGAGAAGAGAGAAGTGGAATGACATGCAGCAATGGCTCCTTTGAGGATTGAGGCCTCAGAACATGGATACATGCTTTCATCCATGCCCAACAAGTTGTTATCTGAGCTACTATTACTTTAACATCATCTAAAACCAGTTTGGCTCTTCTCTGACCTCTAAGGTCAACAAAGAATTAACATCCACACAACTGCCGCTCAGTTGAGCGATTCTCTCTCCTTTTTTTTTTGTTACAATTCTCTGTTATGAAAGCCTGTTTACTTTGAAAGCCTCTTGCATCCACTTCTTTTGCTGTTCTTTTTCCTTAAAACTTCTGCAAGTGGTCTTCAACATGTCTGACTGCATTGTGATTTGCTATTAGTGTTAACAAGCTATTTTATTAGTGTACCTCTTAAATTGGCTGGAGATTATTTAACCACAATGAGCTACTGAGTAAATGATATTAAAAAAAGGTTGGATTAGGCTGACAGAGACTTCTCAGTGGGAATCTCCTATTATCACCATTTCTAAGACAAAATTGCTTTAATTCTCTGAGATGTTCAGCTGTACTTGTCTTTATTGACTCTTCTCATTAGAGTTGAGTCAGGGGGTGAATACAGTGTCAGCCTCTGCAGCTCTGCAGCTGCATGAGCCACTGTAAAAGGGGAAAAAGGCAGTCTTTGCCAAAGGATCACTTTGGCAAAGACTGGTACCCCAGAGATTGGCGCAGTGATGATGTTACACAGAACAGGGCTGGGCTATGTTGTGTACTCTGGGTCACCAGACACCGAGACTATACTTTGCTTTCACAATTTCTTTAATTATGCCTTCTTCTTTTTATTGCAAAACTGCAGTCCCACATATTGTTGTCAATGGAGGCTGATTTCACTGCAAGGCGGAAGGCTTTAGCTCTCGTCACTAGCGTGGCGGATCTGCCAGGCTGCTGTGTTGTTTATTCAGGTGTGTCAAAGACCCGCTGTGACATCATCACATTCACCTATGTGTGAATTAAAGTATGCTTGGCCAGGGTCAAATTGAGCCAGGACTCCATTGAAAAAAATCTGCTAGGGCCAGCTGATGGGTTCAAACAGGTGTAAACAAGCGAGCTACATTAGAAATAAGTGAAAAGGGTGAAAAGGTGTAGCATTTCTTTCTTATTCATCCACTCAGGCATTCTTCATGTGCGTAAAACTCACCACGTGTGGGAGGAAGCCTTTTCCAAGCCCACATGAATCAACCACAAATAGCCACTTGCTTACGCAAAAATCAATCCACGTCGTTTCAGATGAGTTAGATGGACAAATTAAGAATGAGAAAACTGATAGAGGAAGCACATTATGTGCATCATGAACTGCAGAGTACCGCTGGTTATCTGTTATTAATGAAATATAATTGCATCATGCTGATTCCACATTCAAGAGGATTACTAACAGGCCCCAGGGAAGCAATAACTCCATGTTTAAGGCAGTACATGCTATTTCCTTTAAAATGTAAGCCTGAATTGGAGGAGGGGTATCACCACCTACAGCCTGGCATTGACCAGTCATCAGTTTAGTATAGGAGAAGTGGAAAAGGGCGGTGGGTTTTCCAGTGCTGTCAGAATGTATGCATCATAATATAAAATCTGTATGCCTCATAGACAAGACCCATGTTTCTCCAATAAAACCAACAGGGCAGCAGGCACAAGCTGAGATAAGACAACAAATACGCTTAGGCTGGCATCATGGACCACACATGCATGCGGATTTAGTGATGCTGCCAAACATGTCCTATCCATGGAGCCTGACTGCAGCCAGAAATGCGTAAATAAGGGAAAGCTTCTCACATCAATGCAATATAAAGAAAAATGAAATAGCCCACTACTTTCATCCACGTCAGCGCTATGCTACAGGCATCTTTATCATATCTGTGGAGGACGCGCAGGCACAGCAGCCGCTCACAGACGCTCATATGGCACATTGGTTTTCAATTTGCAGGCGCTGCGATTTACTGTTTCAGTCCATATTGGGAGCGTATGCGCTAATTGTCCGGGGCTGTTCTGACATCCCAGCAGGCATGTGCATCTTCCTTTCAACACAAAAATAAATAAATAAATAAAATAAAATCAAAAGCATAAAAGCATTGCAATATATGAAAAATAATGCGATGCTGATCCTACCTGTGCCGTGAGTCAATTCGAGACCCGGTTCCGTGAGTATGTTCGGGTCACTTTGAGATCTGCCTCGCTGCAGACAGCCGTCTAGTCCATCTGATGTAGCCATGAAGAAGACAGCGCAGGAATCCTGAATAAAATATATATTAGAAAAAAACAAAAACCAAGCGAGGCAAGCGAGGTCAGGAGGAAAACCAGCAAGCAGTGGAAAGGAGAGGGAGGGGGGAGATTTAATTCGCTCTGACAACAGCCGCTTGGAGCATCTACGAGGGAGCCATGGCTGGGCTGAAATTCACCGCGTGTGCATGTCTGTGTGTGCGCGTGCGATGCGCGAGCGCGCGCGTCTGGGCTGCGTGTGATGATGTGTGGTGGCCGACTAGGGTGAGGGGGGGCAGTGGTACCAGCGGGGCTGATGAGGATGATGTCCATCCCCTTACAGCAACACTGTCAAATATTCAGCACAAAGCATGATTCTGTATTGATGGTTTATGGGTCCAAAGGTTAAAGTCATATTTAACTGATGTCTCAATGTTGTTGTTGCTCTTAGTTTCAAAATTCGTATGTGAACAAAAGTGGATAAAATTAATAATTAAAAATTTAGGTCGTCTGTAGATATTTTCATATTTACATATTATTATAGTAATGATGATAGAAATAGTGATGAAAAAACACCATCTCTAGATATTCAATCTTTCTTTTATCTTTAATATTCTAATAAAATAGCTTAGATATTTAATGATGAACAGTATACACCAACAGGCATTTTCAACAGGCCATTACAGGAACACAATACGGTCCTCCACATAAAATAATTTGCTTAAAACAAAGCATATCTATGTCATAGTCACGTGGCTTATAATGAGAAGTGTCTATTGGCTGCTTCCGTATGTGACGTCAAAACGCGGAAGTAAATCCCCTCCGGTAGAGATATGGCAGCTTACAGGTGCAGTCTTTGCGCTCGGTTACTTCTTTTATTAATTTTGTTGTTATACGCGTTGGTACACAGTGAAGAAATAAAACAGGGTAATATTCACCATGTTAGAGGGGTTAATAAACCCCAAACACCTGCTGAAACAGTGGAGCGACCGCTAGAAGAGAGGCAGTGTGAAGCAACCGAGGTAAACGAAGCAGTTTCCAGTGATGCTGCTGCACATTTACAGGACTACCCCGGTCCCGATTCCGTCCTGACATCAACACCGCAGCTTAAAGATGACTTCAGAGAGGAGTTAGTCATTAGACCGCTTCATTCAGGAGATATTTATGCTAGCTTCCAGTTCCGCACAGTGTGGGAAACAGATTTCACCAGAGGAAGTAAAGGTAAGCAGCTGGTCCTTCAGCTTTGGTGCTGCCAGAATGTCACAACTTCCGGACAAGAGGATACAATTTTACCTATTAGGACCATAGTCTTCATCTTGACATTTGCTTACATTAATTTGTTTTGTACTCAAGCTTTAAAGTGTCAAACAGAGTCTAGTTATGTCAGCAAGGCTGATTTTGTTGCATCAGTTTGGTGCATTAATAACAGACTGGGTAATATAGGCATGCATTCATTTAGACTTTTGAGATATTAGGAAAAATAGTAAAACTAAAATTTTCAGTCAGAAAAATCAAGATTAAATTAGTTGAGGATTTTTGTATGATTAATTTAGTACAACTATGATTATTAAAGACTGCAAAACAAATGCCTCTTAGCAAATTTCATGTGATATTAAAGCTTTTTATTCCTAATTCTATTTATGTGGTTCTATCTCTTAGTCTCCCACTACAGGCTATTCCCCAAATCTCTGGGTCAGGTCATCTCCAAGTTCTCAGTGCGAGAGCTGCACATCTCCTTCACACAGGGTTACTGGAGAACCATGCAGTGGGGCCAGCCCTATCTCCCCTCCCCTCCAGGAGCTGAACTCTGGGTTTGGTTCCAGGACACTGTTACAGAGTAAGTGCTGCCATCTGTTGGCTGCAGACTGTTATGAATTGTTTTATCTGGAATAGATTTCTGAAATAGAGAAACTGTTTTTATTTGCTAAATTACCAGTAAGGTTTCTGCTGCGTTCTACGTGTCTGTCAGTCATCTCAACATTTTTCTGTCTTTTTTTCTGCCCTTTTAGTGTGGATGCCACATGGAAGGAGTTGACAAACGTTTTGTCAGGCATCTTCTGTGCTTCGCTGAACTTCATAGACTCTACCAACACTGTTCAGCCCAGTGCTTCCTTCAAACCATTGGGAACTGCCAATGGTATGGCAGATATTGTTCAGCCTCAGCTTTTGTATAGTTTTCCAGTAAAACTGATGGTGTCTATGTTTAGATATGGTCTCTTTGGTTCTTCTGTAATCTCACATACAGTAAAAACGTGTGATGTGGTGTTAGGCTCCCAGTTATGTCGACAGGCAAACGCCACCCTCTGCTGAGGCATATGTTGGAAAGCACCACAAGCTCTAAGGAAGCGTTATCACTGTGACATTCTGGTTACATCCAGGCATGCACAGCAGATCAAGAATCACCTAAGCAACATACATGAAATGAGACAAATCAAATTTACACACAAGGAAGGAAGAAATAAATCTATAGTTTACTGGTTATTAGCATACCTTTGACACAAAAGTAAAACTTTACAAGAAACTAACATAGATAAATGTAATATCTGTTAAGGACACCAGAATACCCCACTGTACACAAAATATCAGTTGTAACAAGACTAGGAATGAGCAAAATGGATGAAATGTACAAGTAAAAATGAGGAAAACTCAGCCATAACAAAACCATCTCAGATGTCATTTAGTCACAATGGGCACCAGGTGGAACAGATCATATTCAAACAGGGTAGCAAAAAGGAACTGTTAGCAACAGAAAACAAATAAATGCTCAAACTACCATAAATCAGAGGAATCCATAGGCGAGAAGTGGACATCACATTTGCGACAATGTTGACCAAAAGCAATAAATGTAATGTCACATATCACATACTCCTGCAAGAAAGAATCTATAGGGTAGACAGGACTGAAATACTTGTATCGCTTATTTCTAGATGGCTAATGTACTGTTAAATTTAAGTTCTGAAAAAAATATTATTTCTGTTTTTATATTTTCCGTTCAAGGCACAGACCATCGCTTCCTTCGTTATGCTACCCTCCCACGAGAAATAGTCTGCACCGAAAATTTGACGCCATGGAAGAAGCTGTTGCCCTGTGGATCCAAGGTGAGTTCATGTTTCATTTGCAGTTGTCTGTCTCTCCAGTGATTATGCCTTGTTTGTGTTTTGTATACCAACTTTTTTCCCCCTCCATTTGGTACCTGTGAATTTTCAGGCTGGTCTGGCTGTGCTGTTGAAGTCTGAAAAGCTCTTCCACAGCAGTTTTCATTCCCAGGCTGTGCACATCAGACCGGTGTGTCAGGACTGGCACTGCAAAACAACGTCGTTGGAGCTGAGGCAGACACTGAATGTAGTGTTTGACCTTCACACCTCTGGACAGGGCAAGCGAGGTCAAGAAAGGACAGCTTATATACTGCATTCATCAACATTTTATGACCTTTTTAAACCTTAATATCTCTTCAGTCTTTGCTGATATGATTCATTTCTCTTTGCAGAGTGGTCTTTGTTTAAGATGTTCTCTAGAACCCTGACAGAATCCTGCCCCCTGGCCTCCTCCAGTAAAATATACATCGACACCACAGACAATCCTCAGGTGATATTTTGGTCCCCAATTGGATCTATTTTTTTGTTACATTTGAAACATTTTCAGTTACACTAAATAAATCATCAAAGTGGGATCAGATTAATTTGTCATGGTAGAAAATTGTTCTGTTTGATTTGAAATTGAAAGAAGCTGGTTTTGTTTTTGCAGGAGGAGCAATTTGAGCTCAGTCCAGCTACTCCACTGCTGAGCCAGGCAGTGGTACTGGGGGATAGACGGACCTTTTCTGTCTACGACCTGACCCAGCAAGTCACCTTTGGCACTGTACGCTCCCTTAATGTGCTGATTCGCTGGAAATCCACAGAGGGTGAGTGATGGAAGACATAGCTGAAGCAGCTTGTTGGATTGGCTGAACTCATGAAGAAGAGTTTCCATTAGTTTTAGCTCTTTTTGATCTATAACCTGGTATTTTAATTATGCAATCCTTCTGAAATTGTTATAAATGTATTTTTACTAGCTGTTAAGAGAAAATAATGCAAGGTTATTTGGACCCCTTTTAATACTCTTCTTGTTTTTCTTGCAAGAGTACCGGTATGTGTGAAAAAAAACAACAAAAAAGAACTATGTGACTTGCATGTATATAATTTGGATGTAGTGTTGGCAACATTTGCAGTTTGCCATGGTTTGTTTACCATAATTTTCAGGTCTCTTACAAATTAGCAAAAAAGTTACATAGGAATCAACACTTACTTTACCTGTTTGTTAGAATCACTCTTTTTGGTGGAATAAAGATGGAAGTAGTGATAGCAAGGTGGGCTAATGTTAGCCTTCTAGTATTGATGTACAGAAGTAGGACCAATACCACACTTTTCTGCTCTTGTTGGCAGCCTCAAGCCACCTTCACTCTGCGTGTTTTAACACCAACATCCACATTTTCAAATGAAAAATTCAGATTTCTGGATTAATCTGATGCCTTTTAAGATTTTTAGCATTTTGATTCTGTTTCAGATCATCATTATCTGCTTTTCTCTTTCTGAATTTAGGCGACATGCTTAGGCCCTTGCTTCATGCCGAGCGATACGTGGCCGGATATGGGCTACAGACAGGAGAGATCCACACCTTAATCTACAACAACCACCCCTTCAGGTCTTTTCCTGTGCTGCTGCTAGACTCTGTGCCTTGGTATCTACGTCTCTATGTCCACACGCTCACTGTCACCAGCAAGGGAAAGGATAACAAGCCCAGTGAGTGCATATTTCACCAAGAGAAAGGCCGATACATCGGCCTGTCAATATTTCTGTTCAATTTTATTTTTTTTTTCTTATAGCAACTTTAACAGATATGTGCATGTGTTCACCGATTCAATAGTAGAGTGGTTTCTAAAATGAGTGAGTTTTTTCATTTATTGATATCAATGTTGAATTGTTACACAGTAGAATAAAGAGCTACTTAATAAAGAGAAATTAAAGTAACCTACAGGACCACAACAGATAACTGTTAAGTCTATACTGCAGCCCTTTTTATCTTTGTTTTTTGTTTTTTTTTACTTTCATGTTTCCTTTAGTAACTTTCTTTGAAGATAACACAACAAATTGGGGGTTAATTACATATTAAAGTCGATCTGGGATTAGAACAGATGGGGAAACAGGGAAAATCTGATGATAAGGGTTGCAAGATTTCCCTCTAAAAGTAATAGCTTTGTTTATTTGTGAGCTCACTCAGAGTTAAATTTGTGTGTTTTTTTTCCCCAACATAAATCTTTCCCCTCACTTCAAAACCTTTAGCTAGGAACTAAGGCCTTGGGGTAAATTGTGCCAGTAGTTGTCTTTTTTTTTTTTGCCTGCTGCAGGCAAACCGTGAGTTTAGCTTTGAGTTTGCTGCTTTAATATAATTTGCAATGGAATAAATTGCAGTGTAATACGATCTAAGGTCTAAGGTATGACAGGTCTCAGCATCATCAAATGGCTGATTTTTTTGTGTGGTTTTTTTTGTGCATTTTTGTAAACAAACGCTAAATAATCCTAAACATCAGCAAACTGTATTCATAAGTCAGGTTCACATAATCCGGAATTTTAAAATCTGAGTTTTGTGGAGGACTCAGACCTGAATCTTCAGAGGCAGATAAAGACAGTAGCAGAGTCGAGCTTCTCTTCCCTAAAGACCATCTCCAGGATTAAAGTACTAATGTCTCAGCAGGATCTGAAAACAACCCCATTTATCTCACTATAATCAATTAGTGTGGCCATGTGCCAAGAAAGTTGATCAGAAACCTTAAGCTGATCCAGGAAGCTGCTGCCTGCATCCTCACCAAAACTATGAAAGTGCAGCACATTGCTCCAGTGCCAAAGTCGTTACTCTGACTTCCCATCTCTCAGAGATTTTCTAAATGCTTATGTTTGTGTATAAATTACTGAATCAGCATCAGCTGCCCAGACCTGCTTCTCTAATATACCCTGCATACCCAGAACCAAACTTGTAGAGGCAGCGTTTAGTTCTTATGCTCTACAAATCTGAAATAAACTCCCAGATAACAAATATTTAAAAAAACAAATCCTTTATCTTATTTTAATGTCTGACTTTATTTTCTTTATTTTTTTATGCCTCTATACAATGCAATATACTTCTCTATTTCTCATGTACACCACTTTGAATTAAAATTAGATTAAAAAGTTAGTGCTGTTTGTGAAAGATTGCTCTATAAAAGATGCATTAACACAATTTACTCCTTTAGTTAAAAATATGTGCCTACTCTTAGAATATTTTGGTATTTTCGTGATATTGCCACTAGGACGTGTGCTCACGTTTCATTTTCAAAAGAATAGTAGCCTTGAATGTTCAGGTTAATAGTGTTTTTATTTTATTTTTTGCCAAGTAGTTGATATGATTAATTCAGTAATTTATGATACATTTATGCTAATGTTTATGTAAAAAAAAAAAAAAAAAAAAAAGAGGGGGTGGGGGGATGCAAACACTAAAATTAGATGTCTTTATGTGTCTCTTCTTTGCCAGGTTACATCCACTACCAGCCATCTAAGGATCGAATACGGCCACACCTGCTAGAGATGCTGCTCCAGCTGCCTCCACACTCTGTTACCGAGGTGACAGTGCAATTTGAGAGGGCGCTGCTTAAATGGACCGAATATACGCCTGATCCCAACCACGGATTCTACGTTGGGTATGAACAAACTTCCTGTCACAGTATTCAGAAGTTTATCGGCCAAGTAACAAGTGAAGGTTTATGTTTTCTTTTTAATGATTGATTTCTCTTTTCTTGTTCAAATGCAGATCTTCAGTTATCAGTGCTCTTGTGCCAAGTACTGTTGCCATGAGTACAAATATCACTCAGGAGCAACCACTGTTCAGTACTTTGTGAGTGGAGTTTTTTTTTCTTACATACACAAAAACATTTTTTCTTTGTGTAAAATCTCACTTTGTGTTTCTCCTTTCAGTTTTCCATGCAAAGAAGAGTCCAACTACTTTATGCGTGTCTACACAGAGCCTCTGTTGGTCAACCTGCCCACTCCAGACTTTAGCATGCCTTACAACGTCATCTGTTTAACGTGTACTGTTGTGGCCGTAGGCTATGGCTCACTTTACAACCTGCTGACAAGAAGCTTCCAGATAGAAGAACCCAACCCAGGATTGGCCAAGCGTATCGCAAACGTTATCCGCAAGATGAGGGGTGTACCGCCTCTTTGAGGCAGCATCAGAGGACATTAGCTTATTATAGAATTGGCCCTTCACAAAAAAATAAAATAAATACCCAAATGTGTTAACATTCAGGGAAGAACTGAGTCAAACACTGGCATAAATGTATGGGTAAAGGGCAAGTTGGAGTTTTATTGTTTTCAGGGGTTTTTTTGTTGTTTTTTTTATACAATGGAAAATGTAACGGTGATAACTAGAAAGGTGTTTTGTTAATGTTTAAAACAAGAGCAGCAGTAGCTTGTTTTGTTGTTCTGTTTCTGTTAATATGATTCTGAATTTCTTTAAAGTAGTCTTTTGCCATCGAATGTTGCAGTGCTTTTGACCCACAACAGTTTGATAACTCCATGCCAGGAGAGATAAGGAAAGGTGACACGTTAAGTCAAAGTGACCTTTTGTTTTTGGCAACTCTTATTGGGCAAATAAATGTGGTTTACAAACTCAATTCAAAGGATTTGTAAAACAACCTTTCTGTTGAAGTTTACTTTCTCATCATATATTTGTTTAAATTTTTGTTTCCTTCCTTAAATCTAAAGGTTTGTGAAATAATTTTAATATCAATCAGACATCCATCTGTCAATATTTTGAACTTATTATCTATAGGTACAGTACACTACACTCCAGCCTGTTGTAGGACAACACAGATATACACACACTTACACCTAAGAACAAATTAGAGATACCAATTAACCTAAAAGTCATCTTTTTGGACAGTGGGAGGAAGCTGAAAACCTGGAGAGAACCTACAAATACACAGGGAAAAAAATTCAAAGAACCCAGGCTAAGAATTCATCCATAACCTTCTTGCTGGCAGGCAACAGTGCTAAAAACTGCCACAGTGCAGACATAACTTGACTAAATACAGGATATCAATTTAAAATATTTATTTGATATTTTACAGTTTTTCAATTTATCTTGGTCCTAATTAGGTGGAAAAAGGAACCCCCCAGCTTGTTAAAACAAAAACTGAAAAAGAAGATATTTTTGGTATAATGTTTTGTAGGAATCACTAGCTACAAACCGGAAAACACAGAGCCCTGTAAATCAAGATTCCATGCAAGTAGAAGATGAAGTAGACCAAAACACCTCAAAATGCAAAACATTGTGTCCTTGATTTAACTAAAAATACATCTCAAGAACAGAAAGGCAAACACCATGAGACTCTTAGTCTTTATTTAAAAAAGCTGTTTCTGAGCAAGCAATGAGGAGATAATTTTTCTAATCTGAGAATGAACAAAGGTCAGAGATTGACCCAGAAAAAATAGATCCTCTCTTAGGTCATTAAGGATAAAACAAATACAAAGACACTGAGTAAACTGTCCTTCATGGACCCGTTCAAAGGCAAATACCACTATTGTTCAGAAAGGCTTGTCTGTTTACTAAAGTAATATATTAAGACTGATGGAAAAATATTATTTGAACTAATAAGACAAAGCTGAACATTTTGTGGGAAAGATATGTGTTTCATTACGCTTTTGTTTAACAACCTTTTGTCAAAGAACTATAGAGATTGATGGTGGTGTAATGGGATGAGATTTCTTTGCTGCTTTAGGACACTTGCTGCAAAACATGAGTTCTGGTGTCTCTCAGAAAATTATGGGGTATTCAGCAAGACAATAATTCAAAGTATCAGCATTCAAAATGGGGAAAAATATATATTTTTTTTATACAATGAACAGCATTTTCCAGTTTGAAACCCTTCCAGTCTGACTGAAATAAAAAAGATTTTGCAAAGGTTCGGCTAAAACTACGGTGCCAGTTATTGTAAATGCTTTGTACAGGTTGTTACTACCAAGGTTGACACAACCAGTTATGAGATTTGAGGGGAAATTACTTTTCCACACACTGTTGGACAACAAAAGGATAGCATATGTGTCTTCAATAAATACATTCATTATTTGAAAACTGTGTTTTCAAGTTACTCTGTTTAACTTTCTCTGATATTAAGAGTTAGTGGGATGTTTGAAACATATGTATAGATTATTTAACAAATAATTTTAGAATCCCAACTAACCTAAAACAAGCGAAAATAGACTGAATATATCTGGTTTTATCTGTATGGTTTTTAAGTAAAACAACACTGTTTGCGATTGTAGTGCTTTAAAAAATACACCATAAAATACAAACAAACAATTATTAGCCTTTTTTAATAACCAGAGGCACACATTGGTATCTGTCATGGCTGTTTGCAGTAGCGACCACATGTTGTTGGACAGCATTTCTTTTCTCCTAGGCAGTCCCCATCATGATCACAGAAGTCATGACACCATGAGGTGGACAGTGGAGGGTCGCAGCTTCCAGGTTTTACTGAAAATTGAACAAATTAAACAAATATTTGTAGCCTGTGAGGACTAAATTAGAAATGTCAGTTTTGTTTATACAATATCTCACCTGGCACAGTGGACATGCATTGATGGCCACATCCATTGGAGCAGCACTTTTCACCTTCCTTGCAATCACTATCATGGGTGCAAAGTTCAGCACATACCCCAGATAATCCAAACATGTTTGGGCATGCTTGATCATCTAAATGAAATTTCAGTTTTCTTAGTGAGCTTTGAAAACACCTCATTTATAATCCAAATTTCTTACAGCGACTTAAGAAGATAATTTTGTGACTTACAAAGAATAGCAGGGGCACAGACAGGTTTTCCGTTATACACGCAGCATTTTTCCTCTTCGTTGCAGTCTTTATCTTCCCTACATGACTTTGCGGGCATTAAAGGTTGAAAGACTCTGGGGCAGTAAGCTGGTTATAAACATGCAATAAATCTATTAATAACCTTGTCTATCAGCAGGCTTAGATTGATAAGCAGATAAAAATAAACATTTTTCACTATAAACAGTAAAATCAACAAACTTGCCAGGTTTTGAAGTTGTCGAAGAACAGGTCATTAGTGAAGAAATCACCACAAGCAGCACAGCCTTTGTAAAATAGTGTCTCACCATGTTGAATTATCAGTCAAGGATGAGCTGTTGCTTCGCTATCTTGACAAATATTCAAGTCATAGAGCTCTTCTCTGATGACGCACACAGCACTGGGTTCTTGTGTCATTCAGTTACTCTCGGATATTATTGCTCTCTAATTGATAAGATGCATGCCCAGTTGTTTTTGCGGTCAACCTGTCCTCATTTCTGCACACAAGGGAACACAAAGAAAAGCAACAAAAGTAAATAATCCGTAAAGATTTCAGATAAGCCACAGTGATTTAAGGTCAGCAGCGGATTGTCCTGTTTGCAGATTCATGTGTACAAACATGTAGCAAGAACTTTGATCACTTATAAACAGTATTTATATTTTGATTTATGTGGAAGTTACTATCAATGATGAAAAATATGTTGTACTTTGATATCTAGCAAAAGTTTCAAGTTTCATATCTCCCAAGAGAATCTTTTTTTCTTTTCTCTGGTAAATTCTTTAGAGGTTAATAATATGTCCCGATTTGTAAAAGCAAATAACATATCACAATGTTACCAGGTGAATATAAACTGTGCTAAATTCATAAAAATAATCAATCCACAGATGTGCCAACATTTGCCTCACTTAAAATAAGAAAGTGGAGTACATTGCCTCTTTGCTAAAGTCCTTTCTTTTTTCCTCTATAACTAAAATATCTAATAATTAAAATAAAAACAAAGTCAAATTCTTTGTTAGTGTATCAACTGCCCAGATCTCTCAAGTCTTTTACTCAAGTCTACTTTGCATACCCAGAAGCAGACCCAAACCTGGAGTATCAACTTTTAGTCCTCACTTTTAATGCTCCACTAATCTGGAATTAACTCCTAGAGAACTCTAAACCCTAAATTGCTTTAGAGCAAGATTTAAAACGACATTTGACTGTGCTATGTAATCATTATTAGTATAAGTCTAATTTTTCTTCTTTTTGTTATCAACCTTTTATAATTGTGTTTTTAAATATATTTAACCCCTTCAAGTATTAATTTCAATTAAGTTCATTTTATTATCATTAATTTTTTAATTATCTTTATGCCACTGCAATGTACTTTTTTCATGTAAATGCCATATAATTAAACTTGCATTGTCAGATATTCCTCTAAACAGTGATTGATTATAATTTTTTAACCCTGAAAAGTTTTTGTTATCATTGTTGTAAACTGTCAGCATATGCTTGCAGTCAGGGACATGCACAGATAGACACTAGGTGGTGCTAGAGCTCTAACAGGCATCAAGGAATGCTTTAAATTGCAACTCTTTGAATAAATGAGAGAAAATGTGATTTAAATCAGCTCATAGATGTAGTTATTGATGTCCATGTCAGGGACAATTACTATTTCTCCATGCAACACATAAGGTGCCCTTTTTACCACCTACCAGGCGTATTCTGAGCAATGCCCAGGTGTTATTCTTTTTCTAATTTTGTTGTGTCATTATATGTCATTTGTTCCATTCAACCCATTTCCCTTAAGTAGTGGGCTGTCATTGTGCAGCATCCGGGAGCATTGTGGGGTTAAGGGTCCTTTGCTCAAGCAGCCAGAGAACCTCTGGATTGCAATAGCAATGCCCTATCCACTAGGCCACCACTCCCCTCACTATCCTCCTTGGCATTCAATATTTTTGATACTGCTTTACTCTTGATCTTGAATTTTCTTCCCTTTTTTGTCACACCTACACTGCTACACCACAGTCAGGGATGCTTATCATGCCGTCCCCTGTGCTGCACCAATCCAACCACGTCATGGCTCACCTGATTCCTGCATACAAGCAGAAACTAAAGCTCTGCAAACCTGTAGTGAGGACATCAAAGAAGTGGACCAGTGAGGCTGTGGAGGATCTTCAGGTGTGTCTGGATTCTACTGACTGGGATGTTTTCAGGGCTGCTATCAACAGTCAAGATGAGAGGCTGTGACATCATACATCAGCTTCTGTGAGGACTACTGTGTTTCATCACGAACCAGGGTGTGTTACTGTACAACTATGACAAACCCTGGTTCATAGTAAACTCAGAAGGTTAAGGTTGGGTAAGGAAGAGGTCTTCAAGAGTGGGGACAAATGCAGATTCAAAGACGCAAAATGCAAGTTCAGCAAGGCTGTGGAAGGGGCTAAACGACTGTACTCTGAGAAGATTCAAAATCAATTTTCAGCCAATGACTCTGCTTCAGTCTGAAAAGGGCTTAGACAAATCACAAATTCCAAGCTGAAACCCACCTACTCTATAGATGACCTTAGAAAATGACCTGAATGAGTTCTACTGTAATTTCAACAGACAAAGGGACAGCTTTGCATCCACTCCACCTGAAGGTGGATTACAGACTGCCTGTCTGACAGGAAGCAGCACGTGAAGCTTAGAAAAATGTCTCAAGCCTAACCAGCACTGCTTCCCCCCAGGGCTGTGTTCTTTCACTTCTGCTCTTCTCACTGTATACCAATAGCTGTACCTCCAGTCATCAGTCTGTCAAGATACTGATACTTTACTAACAAATAAAAATAAAAAAAAAGTATAAAGAATTAAAGGATTTCAAAACTAATAATGATAAGAACGCCTTTGTATGGAATCAGAATAAGCTTCTGGTTTAGAAAGTCAAGGAACATGACTAGGCCCCTATAATGATTTAAAATCACAAATTCTAAATTTCTATCTTTAAATGTTTCTGATTAAATCTGTTAAAGTACAATTTCTTTTCAAATACAAGCTCAATCAGACTTACAGTATGTTATTAACTTAGCAGAGGGTGTGAAGTAATCTTGAAATGCTTTTGCAGCATAATTGTCTGTAAGATTGGTCAGGCTTTTGTACTTTTTTTGTTCATATCTCCATTTAAATACATATAAAAATAATTTACATTTTAACAGGTTTAAAATGTATATCTTTGCACTGATGCAAAACTCTTAATCTGATGAGCTTGTATTAACAGTAAGCATTACTTATGTCCAGGCTCGGACTTGGAACGATTTGCGGCCCTTCAAACGTGTGAGTCTCAAATGTAAAACACAACACAAATTCACATTGTCGGTTAACCGATCTATCTTCAAGCATCACAAGAAAACCATCCCCAAAACTTCTACCATGAGGTTTTACTTGCTTTGGTTATTAACACGGACGTGACGGTGACTTTTGCTGCTGCTGCGTAATGTCCACACTTGCACAAAACCAGCCAGACACCCACTCACACATTATAGGTCTACAACGTAAGCCGAGTGTTGTAAAAACACCAACATGAAACAATACAATATAGAGGCAGACAGGCAATTTTTCAAGAATGAATACATGAGAGCTCAGCGATGTCTAAGCATTCACTGCGAGTCTAGGTGGCATGAGGGCAATGAAATGGAATAATGTAAACAGATGCAAAACCCCATCATGCACTGCTACATATTTTTGCAAAATATTCAAATATAAATTCACCAAATATAAGAGGAACAAGGATTTTACAGTTTGAAGAAATAGAAAATTACACCATATGCCAACTGTCTCAATGATGTGCATGACAAGGAAGGGCTATATATGCTGCATGCATCATTTAAATAGTTAATATTGTATTACTTTTTGAGCTTCTTGAGTTATTTACTGTCACAGGTAGGTGCTTTGGCAGAAAAGTAAGTGTTGGGGCCGGTATGATTTAAGGAGGGCCGGCCCTCGCACGCTGAAATTAGGACCAGCCCACCAGGCAAATGCCCGGTATCACAGATTACCAGTCTGAGCCTGCTTATGTCACATAGTTGCACCGGTTATCAAAAACGTTTGCACAGTGAAAGGTCAGTAGACTTGGAAAAGTAACTCTGTAGACACAAGGCTTCTGCCACAAGACCTTAGTTTATTTAAAGGGATATTTGTTCAAACAGATCAAAAGGAGGACTTGGATTTCTAACTGCAACAGAGATGAAATTTTTTGCAAAAGCAGCAATTTTTTTTGCATTGGGCTTATTTGTACAGGGTTACACAAGAGAAGGAAGACCAGGTAAGTTTTTATTTTCCTATAAATTGAAAAGCATGCTCTTTTACTTTTTGCTTTTGTTTTGCTATAGACCTGTATGTCAATATGTTGATAAAGGGAAATAACCAATTAGATATACCATACCATACCAACTTTATTTATGAAGCACTTTATGCACCAGACAGGACCAAAGTGCTTTACACAATCATAAAATACAATAAAATTGTAAAATAGAGAAAAAACGAGTGTAAAATACATATTAGTATATAAAAAATATATAAAACAAAGTATGGAATATGGAACTGCAATTGTTTTTTGTTTCTTTTTTAATGATGCCATTGTGCTTGCAATACTCTAAATCCCAAAGTAGGAGAGGACCCCAAAGTTGGAAAGTGTGCCCTAGTCTACAAAACCTTTCTCCCAGAAAGACCATGTCATAATGATGGACACTGCCCTGGACAAGACAAATGTTGTAGCTTTGGCACTAGATCTTTCTGTGCTCCTCCAGTTATACGTAAGAGACACTGATATAAATTCTGTTTAATATTTGCTGTCAAAATTGTACATTTTTTTTTAAGATTTCCCAAAGTTTCAACACTTAAGTTCAATCACGTTTTCTTTCTTTTTTTCCCTCTGCTTTGGTCTTTCCTCCCAGCTAACCCAGCTTGTCCAAACACAGATGGAAGAATTGGTCCATGTGTTGAACTCTGTTTCAGTGACAGTGACTGCCCAACTGGCAAGATATGCTGCTCCAATGGATGCGGGCACACATGCATTAGAACAGGTACATGCTGGACAAGAAAAATACCCTTACTAGTCCTATGAATCTATCAAAAGCAATGG